CCTTGCCCACACCCAGGCCTGACAAAGTTAAGTTCCCATGCAGGGCCTTCTGACTGAAAACTCTTCTCTGTTCTGTTCCTGACTTTGGTCGCAAAATCTACCCAGGACTCACCTGAGGGATCGCTCCTCCTCTGAAGCTCTTCTTGCACAGGACTCAGGAAAAGCTGGTCTGTCCATTCCTCAGGCCCCACACCATTCCCCTGTCCCATCACTTCCCATGTGTCTACTCCACATGCATTTGCTGTAAGCCACTCGGGGGCAGGAAATGTCTGACACAGTTTGGGAACATTTCTGCCAATACAGACACTCAGGAGCACTTCACAAATACTGAAGGAAGGGAGGGAGGAAGTGGGGGGGATGGAATCAGGGGGAGAAGGATAGAAAAGAACAGATGGTTTATCTAATAAAAAAGAAAGGGGTAGACATTTATCTGATGAGAATAAGCTTAACGTGAGTTACTTTTTTCTTTGGCTACATAAGTCCATACTCTTTCAGTTTTAAGTAACAGAAACTCAAACAACCCCCTCCCCCCCCAAAAAAAGGTGATAGTGGGGGTAGTGTTCTAATATTAAAGCCAGGATTTAGTGTATTGATGCCTGACTGAGGACCTGAGGCCAAGGCCAGTGAAAGGTTTTTATTAATTACGTTTCCATGCCACACCAGGCAGGGCTACCGGGGAGCTGCAGGTTTTCATTGGAGGCCCAAGGAAGAGGACAGAGCCTTCCTGGAAGCTTCTCTGGGGAAGATGTGGTAGGTCAGGTCAACAGATGAGGCCAGGTAAGTCTGAGGGCAGGATCTAAGCCATATGGGCTGTCTCTAGCTGTCTGGTGCCTGGCCCTGGGTTGATTTAGGGCAGGGGAAACACTGGCTTTGGGTGTGCAAGTTTGATAAAGGGGGTGTCCGGGGGCATAGACCCGGCCTCGGTTGGTTTGCATACGAAACACATGCTCCAGGCCTGAGAATTGGCTAGTCCCGGGGGAAGCAGTCTCTCCCCAGAGAGGCTGCAAATGCCCGAGCACCGAGAATACAGAAGATTAGAAGATCTAGTTAATATATCAAGATCTAGTTAATATAATTAAGATACACACAATCACCTTGACCTTGTGATGACTGGGTGCCAAATAGACCAATCACAGAAACTAAGAAAACACAGAACAGGGACGAATGCATTGATCTGTCAAACTGAAATTTCAGAATCCCCTCCCATAGCAGGTGAGGTTTGATCCACGAGTTCAGATGATGTCATCAAGGGCTCACAGTCACCCTCTCTTATTCAGCCTCCCCTGATAGGCTCCATACAGAGACTTCGCAAATGCACCACTCAATGCAGCAAAAATGCCTTTATGCCTGTCCAGACATCTCCACTTGATGAGGAGCTAAGACGTCAATAGGAAGTGTGAAAGCTTATCTTTTACAGAAGTCCCAACGAATACATTGGTTCTGAATGGCTTGTGTGCCTGGAACTGAAGCAACCACTGTAGCAAGAGAATGGAATATATGGATGGGCCTGAGCCCATCATACTTTATTCCTAGAGTGAGAAGTTACGTTAACCCTCCTGGGATTGTGGAGATGAGCGAGACAGTGATTTCTAGAAAAAGCTCCGTAAACTCAGGAAGGGGACATAGATGCTGAGCATCCCCCCAAAAATGTCTGTTAATTAAAACTTTGCACATTCCTGCTCCCGGTATTTCTATCCCAATCTTAAGAGTCCAGATAATCTTCCTTTCAGGACAGATGAGCATAGCTTTAGTACACAGTAACTTTACCCATTTGGAAATATTTAGAAAAAAATACACAATTTTAAAAAGATGTTTATTTCGAAAAAGATAGGGAGAGAGCAGGGGAGGGGCAGAGAGGGAGACAGAATCCCAAGCAGGCTCTGCTCTGTCATGACAGGGCCCGGCGTGGGGTTTGAACTCACCAGACCACGAGATCATGACCCCAGCCGAAATCCAGAGTCGAACGCTTAACCGACTGAGCCCAGGCACCCCACAATTTTTAATGTGTACTTTAATTTTTTTTTTTTCAACGTTTTTATTTATTTATGGGACAGACAGAGACAGAGCATGAACGGGGGAGGGGCAGAGAGAGAGGGAGACACAGAATCGGAAACAGGCTCCAGGCTCCGAGCCATCAGCCCAGAGCCTGACGCGGGGCTCGAACTCGCGGACCGCGAGATCGTGACCTGGCTGAAGTCGGACGCTTAACCGACTGCGCCACCCAGGCGCCCCTTTAATGTGTACTTTAACAAGTAGAGTGGATAGACAGTACCAATTCCATTTTGGTTACATGAAGCCATACTTTTACTAAAGCAGTCTCTCCCAGCTCGGCCCATATCAGAAGTGCTAACATTTTAGCAGTACCCCTGGGATAAAGTGGAAGGCGTTTAAAGGCAGCTGTGTAACAAGTAGGGAAGAAGGAAAAACCTCTATCATCCCGTTTATTTGGAGAATCATCAAGAGCAACATTAGAAGTGCCCACACTTTAGGAACACAGCCATCATGTTTCCTACTGGAGAGAACTCACCCAATCTATCCACAGCTTGGGGAGTGATGAGAAACTCAAAGCTCTCGGGGCACCTGGGGGGCTCAGCCGGTTGAACGTCCGACTTCAGCTGAGGTCATCATCCCATGGTTTGTGGGTTCAAGTCCTGTGCCGGGTTCTGTGCTGACAGCTCGGAGCCTCCTTCAGATTCTGTGTCTCCCTCTCTCTCTGTCCCTCCCCTGCTCATGCTCCAGCTCTCAAAAACCTTAAGTAAAACAAAACACAGAAAAAACCCCAAAGCTCTTCCAGCAACACCCTGGAAGGTAAGAAGCTGCTGCGGCCTTTGTTTTTTGTTTTTAAGTTTCTTCCTTCCAGGAACTTAGGAGGGCTCCACCCCAAAAATAATACTGGCTATCTTCATACTTCTAGAAAATGAAAATCTTCTGATTTTAAATATAAACACCAATATCCCTTGCATTTAAATAGCATTTTGTGGTTTACCTCACATTTTATTAAAAAAAAAAAAAATGAAACTATGAAGCACAGGCAGGCAGGCCTTGTGGACATTTGACACATGAGATCGAGTCACAGGGCCTGTCACGGGACTTGTCACCGTGTGCAGTGGCAAAGCTCACGCACAAGCTCTGCTTAACAGCCACACCTGCAAATTTCCACCCTTCCCCTCCAAGCTCATAGGGTGAAATCTTGGGTTGGTACTGCTACATCATTTGTCAGGTATTTAGGTGAGTCGATGAGCGCTGTTTCCTTTCTTAGGAAGGTAGGGATCACGTGACTTAGCTCAACCGTTGTTTTGGAGAGCAAATAAAATAATGTCTGAAAAGCGGCCAGCTCGACGCTTAACAGAGGCTAGGCCCCAGGCCCACACTCTTGCATTCTTACAAACCTCACAGCGCTGATGATCACTGGAAATGATAAACTTCCAGACAGTTGGCATAGGCAAATTTTATTTCTACGGTAGAAGCATTTATTCCGGCTATAGAAAAATAACACTATTTCGAAGTCAAGGTAACGAAACAGAAGTATATTTTTTCCTTCTATGTCCATACTCCAACATCACATACGGTTTTAAGACATTCTTAAATTAACAGGGAACAAACACAGAATCAAGACAGGACCTGTCAACAGAAGACATGTATTAAAGCTACAGTATCAGCCCGGAATTCAGAAAATACAAAGTGGTCTCGTGCAGTGATTCTCAGCGTTGGTGTGCGTTAGAATCAGCCACCTGGCAGGGAAAGAACCTTCAGCGGACTAAAGGCGAGTCACGTTGCGCCAGGCCTTGGTCTCACGGGAGACAGCAACCTTGCTCCTCCAGGAGGGGCGCAGACAAAACTCACCACAGTATGAGACCAGACTCTTGCTCCCTGTTCCCTTCTCTGCGCCTCTGATTCAGGGACGGTCATGAATACTCTCAAGGATGGTACAGATCAGGTCAGACAGTGTGTGCTAAGGGCTTCCCTAGTTCGTTCCCACACAGCTACTACTGTCGTCACCACCACCAGCCTATACAGACCACACTCCCCCCCCACCCCGCTCCCCCATAGCTGCCAGTACTTAAGATAGAACCCTTGTGATCTCAAGCCCATGGACTACTAGTACCATTTGTGTATGTCGGTACCACGTTTACTAGCTTCACCCGTTCACTTACATTAAAGTTCCAGTACATGGTTGAAAAGACAATTTTTCTATCTAAACTAAGACCACGAATTCAAAGGAAAAAGGCAACTAAGCCTTAAACCATGTCGCTTCTAAAGCATCAACACCCAGATGAATGAACGGCTTTTCAGAGTGACCCGTTCGGCCACTCTCTGATGTTCCCTTATAGTGATGGGAGTCTCTGGTTATAGATGGAAACATCTATAGATGGAAACAAGAATAAAGGACTTGCCATCCTCATCACTGCCTATGTTCACTATACTACACAATCACACTACACAGTGAAAGTTTTTGGCCATGTAAGTAACTACCCACATAAGTATCTGCGGTTCTGATATTCTGAACTACAACCAAAGCCAGAGAGGTGCAGAGTCAGGCCAGGGGAGGGGCCGTCAGCCTCGGCAACACGGACGTTTTGTGTTGGAGAAGTCCTTTCTGGGGGGCCGTCCTGTGCACAGCAGGAGGAGGTGGGCGCTCTGGCCCTGACACCCCAACCAAACGTCTCCGGGGTGGGGTGGGGGGGTGGGGTCAAGATCCTCCCCAGGGAGAAGCAGGGAGCTGGAACTTCAGACATAACTGAGACTCTGCGTGCACAGATCACACAGGACACCGTGGAATTCTCCTCAGTGGGGATGGCAGCATGTGGGCCCCTGCCCTGCCGTGTGTGCCGGACGGACTGCCGGAACCCACGGTCCCCACACGGACCCACCTCTGTCCTCCCGCAAACACCGACGTGACACAGGGAAAAACACAGTTCATCTTCCACCAGTGTTCTGCGGCCCGACACAGAGGGAAAGCTCCAGTTGACGGACATCTGCTACGCGGGGAGCCAGCTCGGTCAGTGCAAGTGGCCCTCCTTCTGGATCCGAAGTCTCTCCTTCTCCACCTGTAAGCGCTCCTTCTCAATCTGCAGCTTCTCCGACTCAAATTTCAGAAACTGCAGCCGCTCCTTCTCAAGCTGCAGGCGCTCCCTCTCGAGTTTCAGCCTCTCCGTTTCCAGGTCCTGGGGCTGCGGCCCCGGCTTCTCGCCCTGGCCCAGCTCACCGTCGGAGGAGGGCGGCTTCTCGGAGCCGACCACCTGCAGCCTCAGCTTCTCCCGGTCGACGTGCAGCCGCTCCCGCTCCAGCCGCAGCCGCTCCCGCTCCAGCTGCAGCCGCTCGGCCTCCAGGTCCAGGCGCCGCTTTTCCAGCTCCAGCTTCTGCTTCTCCAGGTTGACCAGCACGTGGGGCTCGTCGTAGGCGGAACGGGACGGCGTGGAGTTCAGGGTGAAGAACTCCTCGATGTGGGGGAAGTCGGGGAGTTCGCTCTCCCTCCTGGAGTCCGGGATGACGGCCGACAGCATCTCCTCCTCCTCCTCGATCTCAAACTAGAAGGACAAAGCACTTTTCAGGACGTATCTCTGCTTCGGCGGGTAATGTGTCTAAACACTGCTTTAAAGCTTTGTGCACCGTGCGAGCACAGAAAACCACTGGGGTTTTGAAAGACATTTACCAAGACTTGCCTGTTGTCACTAATACAGGTGACCCTTCAACAACGTGGGCTGGAGCTGTGCGGGTCCACTTACACGTACATTTTCTCGCTCAGTACGGTGCAGGACTGGAAATGGATCTTCTCTTACAACTTTCTTAACTATTTTCTATAGCTTGCTTCATGTTAAGAATACAATATATGGTACACATAACATACAGATTATGTGTTAATTGACTCTATGTTAATGATAAGGCTCCCCGTCAACTGCAGGCTGTTAGTAGTTAATTTGGGGGAGTCAAAGCTTATACAGGGACGTTTAATGGTGCGGAGAGCCAGCACCCTCACCCGCCCACGCTGTTCAACCGGGTATGTAATTAAGAGAAGGATACGTGGGTTAAAAGAGAGATTCGTGACCGGAAGAGCAATGGAATGACACTGTTAGGTCAAACTTGTGAGTTGGCTTGAAAACTGGGATCTTAACTGGGCCCGGACTATCACAATCCCCCACATCAGAACTGAAGGAATAAAAGGAGAAAGAGGATTCCCAGGCCAGTACTTACTTCGGGACTCTGGGGGTCTCGTTCCTCCTCTTCCACTTTGACCTCAGTTAAGGATGCACCTGCATCCCTGAAATCTGCCACGTTCTGCCAGTCAAAGTTGGGATCGTTTCGGAATGCAATCTTGTCGTCCATCTCTTCGGTGAGAGAGTCGTCTAGGTCGGAGGTGGGGAGGGGGAACCCTGAGCCAACCAGCTTAATGTTGGCCTTCATCCTCTTTCTCTTCATAAGCGCCCGCCAGTCCAGGTACCTTCTCTTCACCTCCGTCCCCGTCCTCTGCTCACCTTCCCCCACGGCGTTCACACACTGTGCGATCTCCTCCCACGCCATCCGCTTCATCACATTAATCGTCGTGTTGAGCTGCTTGGAAAAAATGACTTCTTTGCGTTTGGTAATTTCTTTCAAAAGGGTCTGAGTTTCTTGAACACTGAAGTTGCTTTTTCTCTTCCTTTTCAACTGCTTCATTTTCCTTGCTTAAGTGCAGAGTTTTCACGGTCAGAGAAGGTGTGAAAAGCTGACAAAGGCTACAAAGTACAAAAATCAAGAGCAGTCCCTTCTTGGCGCTTTGTCTAAATCAGAGTCTTCCGCTCATCTGGTAGCACGGGCAGGCTGGACAATTCCTAAAGAGAAAAGTAGAAAATCAGTCCACTTGCAACTTTGCAACGTACCTCCACCCAAGAAGCTGGACACACGTCCCTGTAAATGCGGTTCAAAACCGCCCACCCTCTGCCTCTGCGGTTGTCACCCCTGTCCCTGACCGCTTGTTCTCACCTGGGCTCCCGCTAGGGCTCCTCACCGCTGGCTGACGCTCTTGGCCTGCTCACTCTCCTCCACCCCCAGTTACTTTTCTGCTCCAGCCACACTGGCCTTTCCATTACCCGTTCTGTCCACCCCTCCCCCTCTTGGAGCCTCTGCACACACGGTCCCCTCAGCCTAGGACATGGATACCTGACAAAAATTATGCACTTGTTTGCACATCGGATCCTCAGTTCAGTGAACATTCTAGAACACTTGTAATGTTAAAGGATCACATTTAATTAGCACCCTGGCCTAACATTCCTTATGTAATTTAAATTATAAAATGGGCTGGTCAAGTACTCAGCTTTCCTCTAGAGGTGACTTACGAGGTACTATATTTATAAACTAGACTTATTTTTTTAGATTTTTTAACGTTTATTTATTATTGAGAGAGTGAGACAGAGCATGAGCGGGACAGAGAGGAGGAGACACAGAATTCGAAGCAGGCTCCAGGCTGAGCTGTCAGCACAGAGCCCGACGCAGGGTTCGAACCCACCAACTGGGAAATCATGACCCGGGCCGAAATCGGACCCCCAACCGACTGAGCCACCCAGGTGCCCCACTAGGTTTATTTTTAAATATACTTGTGTATACCTTTTACAAGTTATATTTTTGCTTATATATAGAACACATATACCTTTATACATGTCTTACGTATTTTTAATATACTTAGAAGAAAGAAGTGAAGCAAACTGTGCTTCACAATGTGCTCTATACATTAAAGTAGCCCGGATATGCTTCTCCTTAGTACCTGTGTTGCAGCACACACTTCAGAGAATTACTCCAGTGAAAACTGGGTTTTGCCTTCCTGTACCATTGCTGCAGCACTAGGAGGGCCTGGGAGAAGGAAGTATCGAGAAGGCTCTAGGAGGATGTGGGAGAAGGATCAAGAAGGATCTAGGAGGATCTAGGAAGGTCTGGAGCCCACTGGCTCCAAAGGCTGTTATCTTCAATACCTAACACTGTGCCTAACAAACAGGAGGTACAAACACAACTTAAAATAAGGTGATGAGGGAATGGGAGAGGTCGGAAAGTGAGAGACAATAACTCAAGGAAGCTAAGCTACCAAAGCTGACACACTTCCATGGGCAAAGCATATGCTTAAAAGGAAAAGTCAGCCCAAGTCAGTATAGGCAAGAACCAGTTTGTAAAATTACGTGAAGCCTTTAGATAAACTACCCACCCTTTCACTATGCCGAAAAACGTAAAAACATCACAAGTTCTACGAAACTGTGAAAAAGAAAATTTTAAGCAAAAATGCTATTTTGCTACCATAGTCTGTATGGATCAGTAATGAGTAGGTTATCAAAGACACATTTTTAATATGGAATCAGCAGGTTAGATGTCTTTAAAAATAGAACAGCTAAAATAACATCAAATTCCGTATCATATTAAATACTTACAATGTATTGATAGGACTTTTTGTTTGCAAAAGATATAGAATGTTTCAGGGCATTTAAATAACTTCTTCAACCCTTTAAAAAATGCTATCATGTTTTTTAAGGGAAAAGCATGGTAAAAAACACAAATATCCATCAAAAGATTAGATGAATAAACCATACCACAGCTACATAATGGGATATGTGCAATAAAGGCTATGAAAGAGTACGAATATGATTTAGCACAACATTATTCCTGTGTAAATGTATCTTAGATCTCCAGGCGGTTACAGCTTAATTGTGTGAAAACCTATGACACCTGATTAATGTAATAAAGTACCAAAATCAACTGAAATTTGCACCTGAGTTGAAATGTGGGCACTACCTTTGCATGGCTAAAAGCTAAACTATGTTTCCAGGAAGTTTTTTTTTTTTTT